TTTTTCTGCCTGGCGAGCAGAGAAATAGAGATGTTTAAGCAATTCGCAATGGCATTTGCGGTTAATTCGTGTGGTACCCATTTTCCCTCCTTTTGAATTTTTCCCATTGCATGTAGACGTTTGGAAACAGCCATCGGAGTAACATTTAATGCTGCAGATAATTCTTGGAGCGTTTGAGTAGAGTTTTCGTCCAATAATGCCTGCAAATCGGTGTCTTCAAACTTTTTCGGTTGGCCTGAGCGTTCTTTATCATTGACATCAAAATCACCATCGTAAATTCGTACAATTCGTAAAAAATACAGTGTCGGATACGTATCTTATTTGTTGCTGTTTTTAACGATACTAAACTGAATACTTTTTAAGGTTATATTGAGCTTTTTGCCAAACCAACTGCCATTTTGAATAACTAAATATCAATACTGCATAATCGCAGAAGAGTAGGAGAATTAATTGATTTTAAAATGACTTCTTAGCTACTTTTAAAAAATGTGGATTACTCATTTAGACATCAAATAATACAGTATAAATAAAAGTTAATTTTGTAAAATATATCCAAAGTTACAAGGTTGATTAATTCAGAATGATAAAAAATTTTAATTTATTTTTTCTCATTCATTCACTTTTTCGTTTTTATCTCTCTCTTTCTCTCTCTCTCTCTCACTCTTTTTTTCTCTTGTCTTCTCCTTCTCTGAATTTTATTGATATATGATTACAGTACACCGTATTCGGTTCATCAACGAGATCGACAAGACTTCTTATCTGAGGCATTAACATGTTGAGATCTAACGAGCCTATACCGAAAACAATTGTTTCTCAGATAGGTAATTTCTTCAAGAAAAAATCTTTAAATCATAACAAAACGAAGAATTCACTTGAACAGATTAAGCTTCGCCTCATCATTGACTATTATGAAAGGCATGGGATGAAGAAATTTTTAAAAGAAGCGAAAAAAGAACTAAAAAATATTTCGCTTCCTACAAAATGCCTTCCTGTAATTAGGTTGAAAACGAAGTTTAAAAAATTTAAAAAATCGAAACAGATTCCTCCCATAAAAGAAAACCCAAATGAGGAACTTTTAATTAAACTACAAAAAGAACTAAACTATCTTTTGCAAATTAGCAAAGATGGAAAGAAAGAGCTTTATGAACCGGTCCATAAAAAATACAAGGAAGAATATATTGATATCGATGAAAACAGTAGTGACAAAGATGCATTATCAGAATTATCTAAACGAAATGATGTCCTAGAAAATAAAAAAATATTTGAAAATTATGAGATAGAAGAATACGAATATATTTCCATTATCAATGAATCCTCAAATATAGAGATATCTAAAATATTAAAAAAAAAAATTACACAATATCGACGTCGACAAAGAATAAAATATGTTATGGAATCTATATGTAGAGTATTTTGTCAATTATGCTGTTGTGGATTGCATAAATAATGCAATACAATTTAAATACATTTTATGGTAAGTTCCATTACATTATTTGTAATTTCTTACATATGTTATAGTTGTTTCCCTTGACGGCTCCCATGGTGCGTGACCGTCCGTGTGCGCTTTTCACTTCGGCTGACTTCGGGCAGTGGAAGAGCGCAGACAAAATCTGCTCTGTTTCTTCTCTCAAACTGTGGTATATACTCGAGCTGCTTGAATTATGCCAAGCTAGCGATGCAATTTCGGGTGCCGGCAACAAAACGTCACACGTATAAACCGATTGTCTGTGTACGCGTTGCGACGATACTCGCGAACGGAACTTCTCGCGAGCGACGGCAAACAG